CAATAAGTCTTGGTGAGGATGTGGGGGAAAAAGGTACACTCATACACTGCTTGTGGGACTGCAGATTGGTGCAGCCAATATGGAAAACAGTATGGAGATTCCTTGGAAATCTGGGAATGGAACCACCATTTGACCCAGCTATCCCTCTCCTCAGTCTATACCCAAAGGACTTAAAAACAACATACTACAGGGACACAGCCACATCAATGTTTACAGCAGCACAATTCACAATAGCTGAACTGTGGAACCAACCTATATGCCCTTCAATAGATGAATGGATAAAAAAAAGTGGCATATATACACAATGGAATATTACCCAGCATTAAAAGAGAATAAAATCATGGCATTTGCAGCTGAATGGATGGAGTTAGAGAAGATATTGCTAAGTGAAGTTAGCCAATCCCAAAAAACAAATGCCGAATGTTTTCTTTGATATAAGGAGGCTGATTCATAGTTGGATAGGGAGAGGGAGCATGGGAGGAATAGACAAAACTCTAGATAGGGCAGAGGAGTTGGAGGGGAAGGGAGGGGACATGGGGTTAGAAATGATGGTGGAATGTGATGATCATTATTATCCAAAGTACAGGTATGAAGACATGAATTGGTGTGAATATACTGTGAATACACCCAGAGATATGAAAAATTGTGCTCTGTGTGTGTAATAAGAATTGTAAGGCATTCTTTGTCATATATAATTAATAAATAAATAAAAAGAAGTAAAATAAAAACATTTTAATTAAAAAAAGAAAAATTATTAAAATTTTCTTCTGTAATGTCTTATATCTGTCATTAATCTCACCCAGTATATTTTTCACCTCAAACATTGACGTTTTATCTTTAGTTGATTTGGGTTTTTAAAATATTTTTATGTCTAACATTGAATTATAAGTCCTTCTAATTTCTCTCTCCCATCTTTCTTGAGACATATTCCACAAATACAACTTTATTTAAGGCATAAAGTGTGATGCTTTAATAAATGTATATATTGTAAAATAATTACTACAATCAAGTTAGTTAACACATCTGTCACCTCACATAGCAAGCTTTTTTCCCTTGTGATAATATTTAAATAAATTTCAAATATGTAATACAGTATTATTGACTGTAATCATCGTGGTGTGCATTAGATCCCTAGAAAATTTTCATCCTTATGACTGAAATTTGTACCCTATGATTAATATCTCCCTATTTCCTCTCCCTACTCCAATCTTTTTCTCTTGGTGACCACCATTTGACTCTTTGTTTCTGTGAGTTCAGCTTTTTTAGATTCCAAGTTAGTAACATCAAACTATCCTCTATGTTATTTCTGGATCAATTTTCACTGATTGACTTTTCTTCTCATTATGAGTTGTATATTCCAGTGTGTTTGCAAGTCAGGTAATTGTGGATTGGGTGCTAGGCATTATGAGTTTTACATCATTGGGTGCTGGGCATTCATGTATTCTTATAAATAATATTGAAGTTCATTATGTGATGTGAATAAATTACTTTGAAATAGTTTAGTTCTTTTGGGTCTGTTTAACTTTTGTTAGATGATATAAAAACTACATTTAGTCTTAGGTACCCCCTCCCCCAAACACTAAATATATTTGCAAAAATTGAAAACAGTCATGCTTTTTTTAACCATATTTTTTGTGAATATAGTGGCTCCCCCATAATTTAATGTGTTATTTTAACTTATATAATGGACTCATTTTAAATTAATAAATAATTTGAAAACTAATTTTAAATTTGAATATTATAAATATTGATAAGTATAACTCAGAGGGGCTGGGGTTGTGGCTTAGGGGTAGAGCACTCGCCTAGCATGTGTGAGGCCGTGGGTTCGATCCTCAGCACCACATATAAATACTATAAACATATTGTGTCTAACTACAACTAAAAAATAAATATTAAAAAAAGTATTACTTATATAAACAAAAGATCTTTGGGTCTTCAATATATATATATATATTTTTTTTGGACTGGAAATTGACCCCAGGGATCCTTTACCATTGAACTTTTAAATTTTGAGATAGGGTCTCATTAAATTGCTGAGGCTGGCCTCCAACTTGCCATAGTCCTGACTCAGCCTCCCGATTCACTAAGATTACAGGCATGTACTATTGTGTAATTTCTAAGAGTGTCAAGGAGTGCTGAAACCAAAGGGGGGTGTTTAGAGTGGGTGCTATAAAGGAGTGTTGAGAGTACCGAGATGCTTGAGGATCATCCAAAAGCAGGGCAGTTGCCCAGTGAAGGCTTGTAATTTTGTTTTTTTGTTCTAACCTTCCTTTGTGTTGCCCTGTCTTGTTTTCTGTCCTCTGAGGCTTCTTCAAAACCATGTCCTTCAGGACATAGCAATAAGTAAAGGAATAAGCAGGATGGCAGGCATAACTTATTTGTAAGCAAACCATTTTGGATTTCTGGTCTAACTTTCAGCATTCAATGATTTTGTGTCTGTGTGTCAGTTTGTACATGTTCTCAACTATTAATTTAAAAGTAAGTTTAGCATTTTAGAGCATTTTGTAGTAATAGGGATAGTGGATAATAGGATAATAGTACCTCCATTGATTCATGTCTACCCAAATCTGAATGTGCCCATATTTTGCTAGGGTCTTTGCAGATGGATTTACAGGTCCAGGATTGCTAGGAGCCAACAGAAGATAGGAAGAGACAAAGAGTTATCCTTAGAGCTCTCAGATGGCCTAAGAAAAATGAGACTTAGATAAGAGAAGGTGTCAGGCTTAAGATTATGGCCCTGCTGAAACCTTGATGTCAGATTTCTATCCTCTAGAACTGTGAGAGAGAACAAAATGTGAAGAATGAGAAGTAAAATAAGAAGCATGGCATGTATTCAGAGAACAGGTATGGTGCTAGAGCAAGGAATTGCTACAAATGGAGTGAGGAAGTGTAGTACAAAGATAAGGCAGTGGTGGTCAGATGGGACCCCTACATCATGGAGGGCCTGGAATATTATGCTCTAAATTCCCTGGCAGGGGGTATATTATAGAATTAGTTGAGAGTGGAGGATCTAGAGATAGCCCAGTTGACCACAATCCCTGCTGTAAATACTTATTGGTAGCTTTGAGATCTTGCGCTTGCTACCTTCTCTTAGATCTATGTCCCAGCTTGTGTGCTACCCCTCTTCCCTCAGGGATTTAACCCAGGAGTATTTTACCCCTGAGCAACATCCAGAACCCTTTTCTTAAATTTTTATTTTTACTTTGAGACAGGATCTTGCTAAGCTGTTAGGCCTCAAGCTGGCCATGAATCTGCGATCTTATTGTCTCAATCTCCTGAGTCTCTGGGATTATAGATGTGTGCCATTGTTCTTTCTCGCTTTTAAGTCCCAGTTTTTTAAAGTGCCATAGGAGAGTGTAGAATTGTCTGCAAGAAGAACAAAAGGGAAGAAAATACAGTGCCTAAGGATAGAACTCTGAAGATTTTTAATCTGTTGTGTATATGGTGGAAAAGCATATATATGACCACATGCATGTGTTTGTGAGTCAGAAAAAAGATTATCAAAATTAGAAAATTGTTAGTGGTGTCTTTCCATACTATAATAAAGTTAACTATATGTCTTTTATTAAAGTAAAGTAGAGGTAAATTAAAGCTGAAAGAGTATTTATTGAATGCCCAAGGTAAAACCTTTGATGCAAAGTTATAAATGAGAACTAAAAAGATCCTCCCCAACTTCTGGCTTGCTGAGACTAGTGGCATAGAAATTCTTGTATAATGTAGTTTAGCAACTACATTTATAATGTAGTGTGGTTTATCTGCATGTTTTTTTTTTTTTCTAGGATAGTCCAACATAATCTGTAAGTACTTGAGACTAGTCACCTAGAAAATTTTCATAACGCTTCTGAACAGTTATGAACATGATATAGATACCATGCTATATCTCAGTACTATATCTCAGATGCCTTGTAGTTTAAATACAATATTAGATATTTCCTGAGAGCTTCAATATATTCTAAATAAGAATAATTACTCATATTACTTGCTTTTTCTTTATGGGTTACTACACACGCAGTAACTAAGTATAGCACGGTAAAAGTAATATTGGGCACGTTAAAGATGAGATGTTTTACAGAAGCAAACTTGCTCTTCAAGATTTGCAGTGACTAGTGAGGTGTAATGTAAAGGTTAAATATACATTGGACTTTGAAGACTTAATATAAGAAAAGAATGTAAGATCCCTCATGAATAGTTTTTAATACAGATTCATTTTGAAATGACAGTGTTGTAGAAATATTAGATAAAATGTTATTAAAATTTTATCTTTTTAACCTTTTAAATATAGCTATTAGGAGATTAAAAATGGCTTGTAAATATGACTCATATTTTCTCCAAATACCACTCTCCGAGCTGAAAGAAATCTACCTTCCTGTTTTTCTGCAATTAAATACCTGTTGAAGTTTTAATCCTTGATGGAAAAACAAAAAACAAACAAAAAAATTGGTGTGTGAATATATATGGGATATTAAAAGCTTAATGAAATTTGCTTTAAATGGATTTTAAAATAAATATTATTATCACTAGATTTCTCAATAAATAAGTTATATCTAATGGCAGCTATTAAACTTCAAGTATAGAGGTAACTCAGTGTCAGACTTTACCTTAGTTATTGGTGTCTGAAAAACAGACCTTTGTTTTTGCTTTGTGTAGATGTACAAGCACACATGATGCTATCCTAAAAGCATCATAACTTATGGGTAGATTTTGTTATCTGGTGATTCTTTTGGTTTCCTTTCTAATTTTAGATTTCCTAAGGAAATGTAATAGCACTTAGAAACTTGTCTATGTGCTAATTTCCAACTTCCACCCTGAAACCTTGGTGGGGGTACCTGGCAATCTGTTTTAATCAGTGAGGTGACTCTGATGTGTGTAAAGTTTGAAAAACATAGTTGTAGATTATACAGAAATAATAAAACTCAATCTTTTTATAACCTATAATATATCTATTCAAAAAGAGTTATATTCTTTTCGGTTAATAACTTGTAAAAATTGTGTATTCTTAGGTGGATGCTCTCCGATTGCGTTTGGAAGAAAAGGAAACCATGCTGAATAAAAAGACAAAACAAATTCAGGACATGGCTGAAGAGAAAGGGACACAAGCTGGAGAGATACATGACCTCAAGGACATGCTGGATGTGAAGGAGCGGAAGGTTAATGTTCTTCAGAAGAAGGTAAGGTTCAGGCATTCAGAGTTCAGAAGTCTACTTCTGACATACCTCCTCATTCCTACCACTAAATTATACTTACATGTTGTCAGAGGTTTTTTTTTCATTTCTCTGATTATGTTTTTGCATAAAAGTTTGAAAAACATATATTCTTATATTCTTCCAAATACATGCATAATCCATATACAAGTAAATGGAACTGTTGTTATAATAGGTAGAGTGCTAAAACAGCTCTGCATATTGTCTTTAATTTTTATAAGTAAACACTATTAATATCTTTCAGTAGTATTCTCTTTTGTTTCAGTAGTATTATCATGTTCTCTCTAAAAAGTATTTGTGAGTTGCCTTACTGTTTGACCAGACATTTCTTCTACCTCTTCTTTCTTTGATTGGAACTATAGTGAATCTGAACAGCACATGGACCATTTGCATGATTAATAAGATGACAGTTTTGAATAGAAAAACATGCTGCTAAAATTAACATATAATGTACCTATTTCAAGGAAAGATAGAATTTTTTTCCTCTTTTATCATATTATTAGAAGGATGCAAATTCTGGAATAAATACGAAAACTAACATTTGCCCCCTTTTCTTAACTTAATAAAGGCCACTGTTTGAATAACAGTTACAAGCCATGCTATTATTTATTCATCGCTATCGAAGTGATAGATTAGAAATATTCGACATTGTCTCAGTTTATTTTTAACCTCTAACAGTAGCCAAAACTTTCCTTGCTAAATTTCAAGTTCAACTTTTCTTTCATATAGAAGCTTATGTTCTATATTTGCAGTTTATATTGTTTTGGCTTTCATTTACTTTTAGTAAGTAATTGTAAAAATTTGGTCACTATAAATATCAGTTGATTTTATCTTGATAAATGGATACTAATTTATTGTTTTAAAATTTTAGAGATATTTATATCCTCACTATTTCCTCCCATGCTGCTTACCTCTTCTTACCAGTTTCTTATGTATTCTTTGAGAAACCGTCTACACATATAAAAACACACATATATTCTTTATTCAGTTGACCTCTTTTCTTATATTCTTCCAAATACATGCATAATCCATATACAAGCAAAAATATGTGTGTGTGTGTTTGTGTATGTGTGTGTGTCTTGGTCTTACCACACATCTTACTGCTCTTAACTGCTTGTTCTTTCCTGTGTGTGTGTGTGTGTGTGTGTGTGTGTGTGTGTGTGATTACATTCTGGAACTCCTTCCAAGTGCTTCCTTATTGGTACTGATGACATCGTATGGATGTATTACAATTGATTTAGCAAGATTTCTGCTCAAGGACATACAGTTTTCTCAAATTTCTTCTACTACATAAATTAATGCTATAATAAAAGGGTTGTATATGTTTAATTTATAGCATATATGAAGTATGTTTCTAGGGTCAACTACTTGAAGTAGAACTGCTGGATGAAAGAGCATGTGTTTATAATTTTGAGGAATTCCTCATGTAGCTTTAGAGAGATTGTACCAATATTTTCCCCACCGTCAGTGTATGGAAGTGCCATTTCACCATATACTTGTCCATAGAATGTGTTATCAAACTCAGTACCAGTCTGATAGATGAGAAAACAGTCTGTCAGTGTAGTTGCCTTTTTTTCATTATAAGTAAAGTTGAATGTATTTTTATATGTTTATATTCCTTTGCATTTTCTTTTCTATCAAATATCTGTTCATATACTAACTTACTTTTTATTGGTTTATAGAATTTCTTTTCCAATTTAATAACTAATTCCTTTAGTCTGTTGTTAATTCCAAATATTTTTTTGGGTTTGGCTTTTGACTCTTTGTGTGTATGTGCATGCCTGTGTAATCAGACATTTTTATATTTATGAAGTTGGGGCTGGTGTTGTGGCTCAGCAGTGGAGTGCTTACCTAGTATGTGTGAGGCCCTGGGTTTGATCCTCAGCACCACATATAAATTAATAAAATAAAGGCATTGTGTCCACCTACAACAACAAAAAAATGTAGATTTACACACTGTTTCTGTATAGTTATCAAATAGATGATATAGCTCCTTTCAAAACTGGTTTAGATTATTAATCCTTTTAAAAAAATTTTTTTAGTTGTTGATGGACTATTTATACATATGTATATTTATAAATATACATATATATAGTGCTGAGAATATATATAAACATATATATATAGTGCTGAATATATAGTATATATATATTCTCTCAGTGCTGAGAATAGTGGTGAGAATCAAACCCATACATACCTCACACATACTAGGCAAGTGCTCTACCACTGAGCTACAACCCCAGCCCTAATGCTTCTTTTCATATAATCACTTCTGTGCTTGTTCTTTTCCATGTTTATTTTCTGTCTACTTATAACCACTTAAAAGCTTCCTTTGGGACTCCAGTACCATGATTATCACCAATACCGAGAAGAACTGAATTAAGATTTTGTTTTAGGCAGTTACTAATAGGGCATTATGTAAAAATGTGGATGTGTAACCGATGTGATTCTGCAATCTGTATTTGGGGTAAAATTGGGAGTTCATAACCAACTTGAATCTAATGTATGAAATATGATATGTCAAGAGCTTTATAATGTTTTGAACAACCAATAAAAAAAAAAAGGGAAAAAAAAAAGGATTTTGTTTTAGGGAAAAGTTGTTTGGGGAATCTTTGGGGAATTTACAGTGCATTCTCCTACAGCTTACAGTGCAAAGGCATTTGACCACTGGATGAAATGTTTACAAATGTATATGTTATCTTTAAGAGAGAGTTTGAAACAGTTCTCTCAGATAGTACAGGGCATTGGCTTGTCTTACTCAAGGAACTCAGATGTGTTTTGGGCATTCTTATATGATGAAAACATTGAGCTCTTATTTTCCTTCTAAACCTGGAAAAGCTAGCAGGATGCCCTGCTCCTCGATTCCCATAGCCTTCTCTAGATATGAAAAGAACATTAGAGTTAAAATGTTTCAAAAGCAGACCAAATTGATAGGTAAGAACAAATTCAAAGTTATTTGCAACTCTTGTCTTTAAACTATTGCACATAAATGGACTAAACAAATAGTTAATCTAGACTGATTTGAGCAGTTATTTATTAACTGTTCTTGTTTAAAAATTCTTGCTCATTTTGCTCCTTTTTTTGGAGAGGGTCTCGATATCTCATGTTTTTTACTTGAAAAGAGTCAATATCTTAAGATCCCTAATAATGTTAAATTTTTTTTTGAACTGGATGTGGTAGTGCTTGCCTGTAATTCCAGCCATTTGGGAGACTGAGGAGGATCCTGAGTTTGAGGCTAGCTTCAATGGCTTAGTGAGGCCCTAATCAACTTTTAGTGAGTCTCAAAAATACCAGAATAAAAAGGACTGGGATGTAGCTCAGTGGAAAAGTGCCCCTGGGTTCAGTCCTCATTACCAAAAAAAAGGGGGGGAGTCATGGAGTCATCGAGTCATCGTTAACTATGATAAGTTATTTGACAATGGGTATCCCCTATATAACACAATGAAAATGGTACTTCACTTCTGAGGTCCTTTTCTCAAAACCCACAACTCCAGTCCAATTAAAAGCAAATCCTAATGCTGAAACATTACTCAAAATACCTGGCTAATATTCCCCCAAATTGTGAAGTCCTCCCCAAAAAAGGAAACTTTAAGAAACAGTCAAGAAAAGCCCAAGAAGACATGACATCCAAATAGAGAGTATATCGGGGGGGGGTATCTTGGAGCTGAAAACTAACATCAGGCAAACATTAAGGAAATTTGAATAAAGAATGGACTTTTATAAATAAAGTATTCATATTGACTCATTTATTTTTTAATTTATTTTTTATTCTAATTTGTTATATATGACAGCAGAATGCATTGTGATTCATATTATACATATAGAGCACAATTTTTCATATCTCTGGGTGTATGCAAAGTCATATTGATTGATTTATAGTAACTGTTGAACCTCAGTGATGTCAATAGGGGAACTATCCCCCAGATACATAACTCTTTAAAAAAATTTTTTTAGTTGTTGATGGACCTTTATTTTATTTATGTACTGCAGTGTTGAAAATTGAACCCAGTATCTCAGATATGCTAGGCAAGTACTTTATCATTGAGCTACAACCCCAGCCCCACCAGAACTGTTTATATCATCTGTGTACCTCTTATAACACCTCTGAAAATCCAAAACTTTTCTAAACAAAAAGTAGATTTTGAAAAACCATCCATGTATGGCAGTGTAAAAGAGTAGAAGAATAAATAATATAAATAATAAATTAGAGTAAAAGAATGAATGAATAAATAAATAAATAAATAACAGATTTCCCCCATATTTTTATTGGTGTGTTATAAGTAATGAGATTCATTGTTTCCTATTCACACATGCACTTGATATAAAAACATAATTTGGCCAACTACCCTAGTATTTCTCCTTATGCTCCCCTCTTCTCTTTCTTCTGTTTTTCAAAATTTCTCTTTGATTTTCATGAAATATGTCCTCCCTTTTTTCTTTCTCTCTTCCACATATAAGAGAAAGCATATGACCACTGGCTTTCTGAGTTTAGCTTATATTTGACTTAACATAATCTTCTCAAGTTTCAAAACATTTTTCCTGATAACTTCATTCTTCTTTATGGATGAATAAATCTCTGTTATATATATATACACACTACATTTTTTTTATCCATCTATCTATTGACAGACACCTAGGCTGGTTCCATAGTTTTTGCCTATTGTGAATTTTGCTGTGATGATATGCATGTATTACTATAGTATGCCATTTTTAATTCTTTAGGATAAATACCAAGTAGTGGTATACCTGGGTCATATGGTGGTTCCATTCCTAGTCTTTGAGGAACCTCTATACTGGTTTCCCTAGTAGTTGTCCTAATTTACAGTCTCATCAACAGTGTAAAAGTGTTCCTTTTTCTTTATATCTTCTCCAACTTTCATTATTTTTATAATTTTGATGGCTGCTCTTCTAACTAAAGTGAGATGAAATCTCAGTGTAGTTTTGACTTACATTTCCCTAATTGGTAA